TTATTATAGGTAGCTTGTGCCTGAATTCTTGTTAATTTATATATCTATGACTTGTAAATATCAAATTGAGGTACCAAATAATAAAGTATGTATGTAAGTATGTATGTAATGAAGAAAGAAAAGGAAGAACTTACAGCAATAAGAAAATAATATTCGCCTTGTTCAGTACAACAAACTCCAAGTAGAGTCTTAGAAGAAGCATCATTATCACCTCCTAGGAAAAGAAAATAGAGGCATGTGTAAACACTGTATTATCAGCAAAATATATGATGATGATGATGATGATATTGAATATGATAGGGATGATGATGGTGATGATGATGATGAATATGATAGGGATGATGGTGATGATGATGATGATGAAGGTGATGGTGATGATGATGGTGATGGGGATGATGTTGAAGATGATGATGATGGTGATGGGGATGATGTTGAAGATGATGATGATGGTGATGATGTTGATGATGATGATGATAATGATGATAAGCTTTCATCATTAAACAGTACTGATTCTGCTCTGGACATAAAATCAAAATTAGTTTCAAAGTTACTTTTGCCTAAGGTACAGCAAATAATATTATGGCATTTTAACCAGCAGTAAGCAAATAATTCAAGTCCTTCCTAGTCCGTCACATTACATGTAAGCTGCTGGGGTTACAATCTTACCTATCATAACCGGGCTTCCAAACTTAACAAAATGGTTCAAGATTTCTTTGGCTTTCTCTGCAACTTTAGATCCAGATTCAACATGCAGTATCTTACTGCTGACCTACCAAATTGAGAGGTTTTAAAAAAGTTAAAGGAATTCATCATGTTGGAGTTTATGGAGGGAGGGAAACTTGAGAACCTTGAGAAAAACCCTCAAATCGAGAGAGGGACCCAATGAACTCCTCTCACATGAGATGCCAAGTCCAGAAATAAAACCTGAGACACCAGAGGTGACAGGCAAGTGCAGTATTGCCTATTATAAAATAACTGCTCTAAATCTCACATACTGATTGGTTGGGAGCRCATGCTTTATGAGAGCACACAGCACACACCCTTTCAGTTTTGTCATTCATGTAATTTGTATTTTATAAAAGTAATAAAAAACTTGCTTGCTGTGCTGTGTGGAATTAAAAGCACTTGGGGATTGGCAGATCACTCTAAAAGTGTCAAGAAACACTCTGTATGCAACATGCTTCTCCTAACACTTCTCTAGTGTTCTGCCAACCCCACGTGCTTTATAACTGCACACAGCATGCGCACGCGTTTTCTATTTCTTCTCCCTAGATTAAATATCTTACATCGTAAAGGTGATCCATCACAAGGAAGACTTCATATGTTCCAATCCATTCTTTTGATCCAAGAAAAGAAGAGGGCTTGTCTTCTAATGTCACAAGAATCTGTTGTATTTCTCTCAGAGTGGGCACTGCATGAGTTCTGTTCTTTGACTGATCACCAAGTGCATAGCACACCCAGGAACATAGTGTTTGAAGACTGCGATACCCGCAACCCCAACCCTATCATAAAAAGACAAAACAAAACCAAATAATGTTGGAGATATAGGCACTCTGAGATTAAAGTGAGTTGTTGGTTGGTGAGGGACAAAGAATAACAACTTGTCAACAAACGATGTCCTGCTGAAAATTGGCACTTGTCTGGCCAAACGTCTTTAGTTTAGGTTTTTTTTTCCTTCTTCTTAACTAGTTTAGTTTATTTTTAATGCTAAAACATGTTTATCAATCTGACGCAACTGGCCGGAAAGTCTGCATGGCTACAAGCAACATGCCAAATAATGTGCATAGATACATGACCATATACATGTGTACAGCACTCCCTTAGCTGTCGCTATACAATAGTACTTCTTTTACAGGGCTTCTCAATCACACGCATGAAATCATACAATTTGCCATCGTGACAAAGTAGGTTTTGGTGGACGTCAATCAATGCCTTTCCATGACATTCCATAGGAACGTGCCCTTAAAAGCTTTGTGTGTTCTGACAATGCTGGGAAAGACTTTGATTGGCGTCCACCAAAACTCTATTATGTGTCGAAAAACATTTTCACGATTTTGTGCGTGTGATTGAGAAATGCTGTAACGCTTCTCTCATGTTCTGCTAATATCCCTGCATGCCCTATAACTGCACACAACAAGTGCAAACATGTTTTCTCTTTCAGCAAAGGAAAATTACCAACTCAACTCTGACACTAACTGCTTGGTTTAAGGGAGGGGGGTGGGTCAGGGAGTCATGTGGCCTATTTGTGCAAATCCCCAATCCTTTAAAAAGTATTAACACTGTTAATTTTAGTTCTTTTTTCTGCTGATGATGATGTGACTCCTAGAGCTAGTCTCGCTTACCTTATCATTTACACCATCCACAAGATAGTGATAATAACCATATTTACCATTAACTACACCAACTTCTTTACAACTAAGTGGAAGAGCAATACACTCATGAATGTTGGTTAAAATACTAGGATTATTCATTAAATATTTCAGCTAGAAAAATAATTTTTCTTTCAAGAGAATTTGAAACTCGCTCCAAAAATTTTTTCCAAAAGAAATATGAGCCTTTGGAATAATCGTACAGCGGTAAATAGCTCATTGTCAGGCGCTAATTTAAGCGGGGGAAACAGGCAATAAAGTTCTCATTTAAAAAATAATAATATTTTCTTCAAATCTTAAAATATTTGAAGGAAAATTGCATTACTATTTGGAGAGTTGTAGTATTATCATATTTTGGGTTGATATTTTTGTTTTTCTAATATATAATTGGGAGATTGGTTGATAGAAGGATTAGGAATGTGAGTGCTGTGCCCCCCGGATTTCGGAAGGATTCTCACTAGTGTTCCTCTTGTTTTTTGGATCGGACAAGAACTGGTTATGAAGTTATAAACAACGGCTAAAAATCCACTTCTAATACCTCGCTGCTTGCCATTTTACGGCCTGTAATGGTCATTGACACCTCAAGGACACTAGTGGCGGTCGAAGAAGGCAGTCGCGCCGAAGAACCACTCGTCCTTTGTATCATACAAGATGAAACAACGGTAGACTGGAAAAATGCTAAATATACAGTCAATCTTCCTGCTTCTTCATCTGTTGAGGATTTAATCAATCACGTCTCTAAAGAGGCAAACTACGTGGTCGATTCTTTCCTTCTGGTCTGGACTAACTCGTCGAAGGACGAAGACAAGGAAATCCCACTAAATGGCATCACAGATAAGAGTTTATCGGACTTTGGGCTGGTTGTTGGAGGGAAGAAGAATAAATTCTTGCTTAAAGCTAAAGATGGCGAGGAACCGCGAAAATTGAAGGTAATATCTCCATGTTGATGTACTTAGGTTTAGTAGGACGCCTCCGATTTAATAATTTAAGTTGTCTTAGGTGAAAATTTACCGTGAATTTTAAAAGACAATGGCTAATGGCAAACCATTTTGTCCTCAAAGATGGCGGAGTGGTAAATATCTATGATGGCTGTTGTCCTAAAATAATTTTACGTATGAGCATAAAGTATATTGGTAGTAAATTCATATATTGTTGGTAAAATAATAATTTGGAAGTTATTTGGTTGGATATTTAATGTGCAAGAGTTGGTGAATCTTTTTCGTTTGACAAACAGGAAGTAAATTAAACAGTGTACATTGTACTGCTCCAGAAAACAACGAAGAGAAAGAATGAGAGAGAGAAAATAAGAAAAATTACTCATCACTATTTTACAAGAGGATTTTGACCACTAATTTGATTTCCAAAGGAATACCATAGAATTACACTTACTATTCCTAACCGGAGCGCAATTACTAGGACAATACATTTGGACATCCCATCTTTCAAATAAACCTTTCCCAAATTCGCTTGATGGGTAGCAAAACAATGGTTTCAGGTCAAAATTGAACATGATGAATTAAAAAAATAAAGTTCAGTCTCGACTTCAAACATTTTTTCGTGGTCACCCAAGAAAATTTGGGAAAGGTATATTGTATTGCATTGAAGAATTTGTGCAACGAGTCAATCAATTCTCTATAGTATAATTATAAGCTAAGCATTATTGAATTCTATCAATATCATAGGACGATGGTGATAACACGAATGACACACTAAGTACAATGGTTCCAGAAAGTAATGCTGCTAGCGCATCATCTTATTCTGGGTCATATTACTCTGGGGACTCATACTACACTAGTAAATCTGACACAGGTAATATATGTCATTAGCATATTTTAGACTTATAAAGTTTCTTGTGCTGTGATTGGTCGAGGGGCTGGTGATTCTGAGACAATAATTACTGCTCAAGTGGTGATCATGAGGTTTTTTCAAAGTTACATGTAGAGTGTACGTAATATTATAAGTTTTTTTATAGTACACTCAACAAAATTACTTGACTCTGATTGGTCGAGAGGAGTACAATTATAGCGTTAATTGTACTCCGTAGGAGTACTGAATTAAGTTRCTATGGCAACACGGCCAAAACAATGTCAAAACAATTATTTTCTATCATTTTGTACTTAAAAAACATATAAATAAAATTTTAAAGCCGTAAGAACTAATCTTTTTTGTGCATTTCAGTTATGCGAGGGACTGAAAATCGACCGCCAAATAGACAAAGATGAACGGTGTCGCTTCACATTTTTTACTGAAATTTTGTTGAGTGAACTATAAACAAAAAATCGCATGATCTTCTCATACAATTTGGAATTAATAGACACTCATAATGTTTTGAAAGTTCTTTAATTGCATTTGCCTAAAGGCTCGTGCAATTACAAGAACTTTCAAAACATTACTCGTGTCTATTAATTTCCAAATTGTACTCAAGATCATGCGATTTCCTATACTAATCCTGAATTTCGACGTTTTTCTGATAATCAAGTCTAAAATTAAACTAAAACAATAATTGTTTATTATTGTTAAGTTACACTAGAGTGATCAATCAGTTATATATTTCTTTTCCATGTAGGTTTTGTCGGTCTTGTTAACCAGGCTATGACATGTTATCTAAACAGCTTACTCCAAACACTTTACATGACTCCAGAATTCAGAAATGCTATCTACAGGTATTATAAACAGTCCTAATTTAAAGTAATAATGTTCTTGTTTTCCTCTCTCCATAAGAATCAACATGCAATTTGAGTGCAGTAGGAGTAAAGTAGGAGGAAGAGGCCATTACAGGGAGTGATTATTGGAGTAATTGAGTGATGATGATGATATTATCATAGTTGACAATAGTGTCAGACCAATGATGGTGGCGATTCTAGTCACCAGCTTACACCAGCTATGTTGATTGGTTTTACTAGGATAAATAAAATCATTATTATTATCATCATTACTCATTATGATGGTAGTGATGATGATGGTGGAGATCATGATAGGGATGATGATAATATGATAAAAAAATATAATAAGCCTGAAGCGAGATGACGTTTTACCCCCGTCTCTTTACCGTAATAGTTTTTAAAATTCTTTCATATTAAAATTTTTGATTCCTTAGAGAATACAGGAACAATAGTCATAATTAAAGAACAAAAGCAGTTTGAAAAGGATTATGGTCTAGAGAGGGGGAAAAACGTCATCTTGCTTCAAGCTTATTATAAATATGTTGGTGATGGTTGATGTTGTTATTGATGATGATGATGATGATGACTACAATGTTGAATACCTTGATGATGATAATGATGGTGGCGATGATTGTTTTTACTATCTTCTGGTTACTTCAGCTTTATTGATACAAAAGTGTCAATGTTTATTTGAATTTTATTTGAAGGTGGGAAGCAACTGGTAGTGAAGAACAAGACATCAAATGCATACCCTCTCAACTACAAAAGCTTTTCTTACTCTTACAAGTAAGATAATCATTATGATGGTCCGTCTTTCCCCCCTTATCCCTCACCCTCAGGGACGGTGTAGAGGGATGAACTGGGGGTTTTAACCTCACCACTTAATATTTAAGTCTATTCGCTACATTATATAATAATTATAAAGATATAAAAATGTAGCGAATAGACTTAAATATTAAGTGGTGAGGTTAAAACCCCCAGTTAGTGCAAATTATTTGCTCTGGTACAGCTTTTTTATTTTATTTTGCTTTGTTTAGTTTTACCATTGAAATACATGTATCCAAAGCTTAAGTTATAAAAGAAGCATCAAAGTACAACAAAGAAAAAAATTAGCAGGGTATTTGTGAAGCAATGATCACCAGGGTATCCATAACAATGGCTGTTCATTATTGTTCAACAGCTGAAGTCTTTCCAGTTTCATTAAATCTTGCATAAACTTTTTTTTAATCAGACTTGTGATAAAAAAGCAATAGAAACAACAGACCTTACGAAAAGTTTTGGTTGGGACAGTAGTGAAGGTAATATTCCTAATCACTAGTAATAATATTAGTTTGTTCATTCGAGGTCTTGTAAACCAGGGCTTAAAATGATGGCCTGTCATCGGATAATGTCTCGTCAGAATTGGAACTTGTCTCCTCAAAAAATCACTTTGCCTTGCTGGTCATTTAGCCAGAAACTTATATGGTAGCTCTTAGCCTTTATTTTAAGCCCGGTAGCAAATAAATTGTAACTTGTCTTCTGAAATCTCTTTTGCTTGTCAGTTAATTTGACCAGTAATGTTTGGCCAGATACAAGGCATGACTGACCRTCATTTTAAGCCCCACTCAGTATAGCTGAATTACAGACAGAGTCAATTACATGTGCACGACAACTCATAATTGAAATAAGTACCTTATTTATATACAGCAACTAGTTGTTTATGCACACTATTAAATTTGTTTCCTACTTCAGACCATAACATATCCTTTTTTTGTTGAGAATTCATGGTTCTGACTTCACTTGGTTATTTTTGCCTGTCCCACAAGCTCCAAATTTTATCCATGATTTAAAAAAATTTTTTGACTATTTTCCAGCCTGGCATCAACATGATGTGCAAGAGTTATGCAGAGTTATGTTTGATGCCTTGGAAAGCAAGTTCAAAAGCACTGATCAGGTATTGTGCGTGTATTTGCAGAATGGTTATATTTGCCTCCTAACATCATGCACCTCTCCTCTATCCTATCTTGTCCCTTGAAGCCATTGTATAAAGACTGTAACTATTGTTTTTACCACTGAATAACAATAACTAACTTACATACTTTGGTATTAATTATTATTGGACACTCTCTTTTTTTTCTGTTAGGAGGATCTCATTAACAAACTTTATCAAGGAAAGGTTAAAGATTATGTCAAATGTCTTGAGGTATGGTCTATACAATGCATATTTCATTGAACAGTGAATGACCCTTATTTATTAGAGACCTGGTATGAGTCAATAGACAATGATTCTTAGCCAATCACAATGCAGCAATTAGTAATTTTGCACAGTTACTGAAAAGGTGAATCTATATAAATGTGAAAACCTCACAGTGTACAGTATAATATGATTTAGCCATGGCAGTCCTACTGTACACGTATGTCAAAACATTTTTGGGTTGCTACACAGTCATTGTATGCTAAGTGATTGGCTGAACAAATATTTGCTCTGTACTATGACGGTGGCATTTCATTCTGCAACTTTACCCCACAAATTGTATATTTGATATTTTATGATTATTTACATGTATTTGGTTTTTAGTGTGGCAATGAGAGTGCACGGACAGATACATACCTTGATATCCCACTAGCAATAATGCCATTTGGTGAAAATAGAGCCTTTGGCAGTGTGGTAAGTTTAAAGCTTTGATTGAAATAATCGAATAGCTATCACTTCATATTACACTTTGTCAAGGTCTTATAATGGTTTAATATCAATGTTTTAAGTTGAGTTTTTATCTTGTTGTAGGAAGAATCATTAGAGGCATTTGTGTCTCATGAAACATTGAGTGACAATAACCAGGTAAGATCAGTAGATCATCCCCATCATCATCATCATCAACAGCAGCAGGAACAGAATTTGAATCACTGCCATCTACTGTACTATAATGAATCGCTACCATCTACTGTAATATATGTACCTCTCTCGTTTTCTCACTGGACTCTGAAGATGATTTCCTCTCAGGTTGTTGAAACGTCAGTCACCACCAACGACAATCTTTCTCAAGACTTCACTCATCCGGACGATCACACTTCACAACAAACTGTCAGTCACCACCAACAACAGTGTTTCTCAAGACTTCACTCACCCGGACGATCACACTTCACAACAAACTGTCAGTCACCACCAACAACAGTCTTTCTCTAGACTACACTCACCTGGAACATTACACTTCACAACAAACTGTCAGTCACCACCAACAACAGTCTTTCTCAAGACTACACTCACCCGGACGATCACATTTCACACCAAACCTCAACACCTGGGTTCATTACCATTTACTCTTGTACTGCATGTATAACAAATCACTACCATCATCACTGATTTCTGATATTGTCCCAATTCATTTCCTACTCTCTTCTTGTCTTATAGTACTTCTGTGAAAAGTGCAACAAAAAATGTGATGCTCACAAGGTTAGTACACATGTGTAAATATTACTCACTTTCGTTTTAAGGGTGTAAGAGCTTGCTTAACCTCTAAGGTTGTTCTCTTGCACCCCCCACAATATTTGTAACTTATTCAATTTATGTATGTATATATTTTTTGTGGAAATAAAAACTGTTGTAACTGTTGTAACATATACCTACAATAGGTGACGTCAGCGCAAACTTTGCTATACACTGTATTATGTAAATAGAATATACTCAAGTGTGTACTTAATCCAGGATGACTAATTCCTTCTCTATTTATTTTAGGGTCTCAAATTCTTATCCTTTCCTTACCTGCTGACGATCCAACTCAAAAGATTTGCTTTTGATTACAACACTCTACRTCGAATCAAACTCAATGACAGGTTGGCATAACCATGAATAATAAATTATTGTTTGCCCACAGTTCGTTATAACAGTCAATATGATTGCATATCTTATTATTAAGACTGTGTTTAGATAAAGACAAAAAGCCCATTAATTTAGGTTGGTATTTATACATGAATTATTGTTGGCCAATGGTCATAACAGTGTCTACATGTATGTACTGTAGATAATATTTTTAAGAATAAGACTGTGCTTGAATAAAGATACTGTAAAAAGTGCATTAATTTAGGTTGGTATTTATACATGAATTATTGTTGGCCAATGGTCATAACAGTGTCTACATGTATGTACTGTAGATGATATTTTTAAGAATAACACTGTGTTTAAATAAAATTAAAACACTCATTAATAATTCATAAGCTTATGGTCCAATTGGAGCAACCATACACGTCACGTGCATGAACCTTTATACCCGATAAAGTCCTCTTCATTAGTATTCAAGTGATTTTATATAAAGACACATGTGTCTTTATATAAAGACACATGTGTCTTTATATAAAGACACATGTGATCTTTATATAAAGACCACTCGAATGCTATGAGGATGACTTCATCAGGGATGAAGTATGCATCCAAGTTTAGATGAAGACATAGAGCTTCATCAAGGTCATAGTCAACCCTAATGATCTTTGACTAACGTGCCTGTCTTTGCCTTGGCACACAATATCCAACGTGTGGGAGCTTCTATTGAATCTGGTTGCGCATGCCCGTGACGTCAAATCTCTATCGAAGTATAAGAATCCATGTTCGTGACGTGTATGGTGGCTCCAGTTGAACCAAAATCTTATAAATTGTTCATGAGTGTTTTAAGCAGTTCAAAAAATTCGTAGATCGTGTTTTATCAGGTATAAAAGCACTCGGCTACACCTCTTGCTTTTATACCTGATAAAACACTTCTACTCGTTTATTAAACACTACATAAATTATTTAATACATATTAACCTTCTTCTCAACAGGATGACATTTCCAAAGTTTCTCAACTTGAACCAGTTCATTGATGACCGAGAGGTAAACTCATACCTTTTTTTAATAAAGATTATTGATATTATCATTTTATACTCATATTCACAAAGATCAAAGGGCAGGAAACTTTTTCTTTTCATAATCTTTGTTTTAGTATTATCTTAACTTGTAACATGTTAACTTTATTTTTATCTGATGAATAAAGGCATTATTATTATTATTATTATTATTATTATTATTACATAACTTATCAAGCCCTACTTTGTATTCTCTATTGCAGAGCTCTGGCGATGACGAGCAGAGCGTGAAAGGGGATTCCCCAAGCAGTACAGAAACAGATAGCGGCGTAAGTGAAGGATATTCAGATAATGGCATATTGACTGAAGATGAAGAAATTGGAGCTGCTGGTAATGGAGATAATCAAAGAGATGATCAGTCTGATGAACAAGAAGAAGGTGCTGTAGGGGACCAAAAACCAAGTTCTGAGGAACACAAGGTGTGCATTGTTCAAACTGTATTTTACTTTGGTTCTTCTTTAATGTGATTTAATTCTTGTATAATGTACATGACTATAAATAATTTTTACCATCATGATCATCATAATCACCATCATCATCATCTTTACAATCATCACCATCACCATCATTATCATCACCATCATCATCACCATCATCATTATCATCATTATCATCATCATCACCATTATATCAACTTCATCTTCATCATCATTGCCATCATCGTCACCATCATCACCATCATCATTTTTTTTTTAAATTTTTATTATCTAGATATACAGTGTATTATATAATAGTATAATGATTATATATACTTACACCAATTCCTGTATATATTTTCAGGGTCCATATGTTTATGAATTGTTTTCCATCATGATTCACTCTGGAAGTGCCAATGGTGGACATTACTATGCATATATCAAGTATGTACATGATATGTCAGAGTTTTGTTGATGCTTGTCATGATACAATGAATTATATATTCATTTTTATTTTTGCTCTCATTGGTTTCTTTTGTCTTATTCTATCATATATACACTCCTTTCTACCACTTCTTTCTCTTTTACTCCGACGAAGGACTAGCGTCCGAAACGTCAGTTTTTTCATATTTTAACAGTGTATAATTTACCTTTTCATCATTACTGTTTCATWAGAAACACCGACGCMGCTCACACTAGTTTTTAGCTAGTTATATCTATCTATATATTCCACTGACAGTGAAAACAATGCTATCTCACTCAACTGCACTCATTTTCACTTAATGATTCTATTCAATAGACTTCTTTACTTTACTCTGGGTGTCATCTAATGGGCCTACTGTATGTATCACAGTCCTATTAATTATCCTAAACCATATGTTTGATTGACAGGTCTCTAGATGACGGATGCTGGTACTGTTTTAATGATCAAAGTGTCACAAGAGTAAGTAATTCATCTTAAAGTGTTTGACTCACTGTCATCTTATTTCCATACCACATTATTATGTATTCCCTTGAGATTTGCTTCAAGACCAATGTAACCAGCCCATAAGACTTCTACAAAGCTATATTTGGAGTGGTCTTGATTATTCTCATGTATATGTTTTTGTTTGTTTGCTTGTGAATTTGTTTGTTTGTCCATTTGTTTGTAATGTCCATTTGTATTTGTTTGTTTCTTCCTTTCTCTATTTGTTTTTTTGTTGTTTTTTTTGTCTGTTTGTTCGTATGTCTGTCTACAGGTCTGTCTGTTTATTTTGTTTGTCCATTTGTTTGTCCGTCTGTTTGTTTGTTTGAGTCCAGTTAACTGTCATTTAATAATAAGTCATATCATATTGTATGGTACTTATTTCTAACCAGGTTGGCGATGAAGAAATTGAACGAACCTATGGAGGTTCAGAATATCCCAAAGGCTACTATTCTTCCATTTACTCAAGGTAAATATGCAGCTCATGGATAGGAAACACAGAGTACTTTTTCTCTTGGAAACTCATGTGCCACTTTGCTTTAAAGCAGACAGGAATTGGCAGAACACAAGAGATGTGTTAGGGAAAGCACAACTCATAGCAGCACGCTTATTAACACTTTTTGAGAGTGTTCTACTAAGTGCTTTATAACTACACAGATAGATAGACTGCACAGCAAGCAAGGTTTTTATTTCTTTTATAAAATACAAATTTGAGTAACCATTATTTTGAACACAAATGACAATAGAAAGTTCGTGTGGGTGCTGTGTGCTGTGTGCTCTCATAAATAATGTACTCCCATCCAATCAGAGTGCGATATTCATAACAATTGATTAATAATAAATTTCAGTCAAAATTTTGCAAATATTTAATGAGATTAGAAATCAAGTACAAGGGTCCAATTATTTCTTCGCCGATCATAATAGTAAATACTTGTTGATGTATCTTACTCTGTTGTACTGGTAGTTCTACGAATGCATACATGTTACAGTACAGACAAGTAGCCCCTCAGAGAAACAAGAAATTCATGGAAGTAAACGAGATGCCCCCACACATTGTCAGGCTGTCAAATGCAATTAAAAACCACGAAGAAGTGGAGAGACAGAGAAAAGAAGTTGACAAGAATACTTGCAAGGTAGGGTAACAAGCTTTTTACTGTTTAATTTAATTTATTTTTTTATTATTTATTATGCTCATGGCGTCGGGAGGTTAGGATGTGTCTGTCTTCTAGCTCTCGGTTGCTCTTTACTTTTTCTGTCGTTAATTGACAATGAAAGGAAATGTCAAGGAAAGGAAAACAAACGAAATGGACAGAGGGAATGAACAGAGATGTTTTAGAATGCAAGGAAAGAGCATCCGAAATAATATCTTCGAAGGATCCACCGCTTAACGAAAATGGCAGAAAGAAAGGCTGCATTCAAATAATGATGGAGCTATGGGAAAAGAAAGGCTATGGAAGCCTTGGTTTAACTGGCCAAAACCTGAGAGATCAAGCCTCAAGACTGCAAAACACACAGAATTGCTCTAATATGACAATTTTAACACAAGAAACTGAAAAAAATATCGAACAAAATGAGGACGAACATGCAACTAATCAACCAAGACTGACACCGAATTTGCATACTAGTGTATTGCAATCCCCTGAGGCATCTCTTGACAAGGAAGGAAAAACCTCAAGCAAAATTCAACCAAATCTACCTGACTTTGATGTGCTTCCCTCTAAAATAAAAGAGAAAAGTTGGGGGACCATAACTCAACAACAGCTCTGTAAAGAAATCCAGGACATCTACGATGAAATTGTTCATTTTAAACGAAATATCTTCAATATACCATC